CTGTAGTCACATTGAACTCGTTCATCTCATTCAGAATCCGCTCATCTCTTAGTCTTCTCAGGCACAGCTCTGCCCTGGACTCTGGGACTGTTCCCTTCATCCAGGGTTTAATACCACTCACAACCCCCATAGCAGCAGTGAACATGTGCAGTCCCAATCTGTACCATGGGTGCTGGGAGAGACGGCCAGGTAGTGTTACACATTCATGCTCCAGTGGATTCTGTGACAGGAGAGAGAATGATGTTGTGGGTTGCTACAGGAGGATGGCAGCCTGTTTCCACTGCCCTGTGCCACACAACAGAATGGAACATACAGAACTCTGCTATCCAGCCATGGGCCTCAGCACTGTGCCACTGCCACTGGTTTCAAACCCACACTGTCTGCTGAGAGTCAGCTAGAAGAGCTGCTGATCCAGTACTAAGGTCACCCATTTCTTGCCTCTAACATCACCTGACTCTGCCCTTTGCTCAGTTCAGCTGCTTCTGACCCTCAGCCAAGCCTTAGATTCCTGAACACTCAGGTATTCCACCTCCCAGCTAAACCGTGCTGTCTTAACCCTAAACAATCACCCACTGTGCTTGCTGACTTACACAAGAGCAGCTGCAGGCCATTCAGCCCACTTGCAGCCTGATCTCACTGTGGTCCCAACTACACTTTCCTGCCTGGCACCAGCACCCCTCAACCCCATAACTATCGACTCCCCTTGTCAATCAAAAACCTAGTTAACTCGCACCTTGAATAAATGCTAAAGAACCATTTCCACTACCTGCAGAAGAGGATTCTACATTTGAACGACCTACAGAGAAAAACATTCACTTCATCTTCATTTTGAAAGAATACTTTTTCTTCTGACACTCCCATCCCTAATTTTACTCCTCTGGACACTGGTCCCTGGTTCAGCAGCACCTCAATTTTAAAATTCATACCCACTTTCTGCATTGCTTCATCCCTCCCTATTTCTGCAATCACACCAGCCCCCTCCTATTTTGGCCTCTTAAACATCTTGGAATTTAATCCCATCACCATGTCTTCAGATGCCAAAGCCCCAAGTTCTGGAATCTCTTCTTTAGTGTCTCTCTTTCTCACACCGCCTTTAAAGATCCTTCTCAAAATCTACCTTTTTGGTCAGCTGTTTGAATATTTTCTTACTTAGCTCAATGCCAATGCAACTGTTTGGATTTAGCTATGAACATCAAGAATGGGTGAGCCCACCATTCAGTGTAGAGTCATCCAACATAGAGACAGGCCCTTCGGCCCAACCCTTCCATACTGACCAGGTTTCCTCAAGTGACCTAGTCCCATTTGCCTGCCCATATCCCTCTAAATCTTTCCTATCCACACATCTGCCCATACGCCTTTTAAATGTTGTAACTGTATCAGCCTCTACCACCTCACCTGGCAGCTCATTCCATTCACACACCACTGTGTGAAAGAGTTATCCCCCAGGTCTTTTTTAAACCTTTCCCCTGTCACCTTAAACCTATGCCCTCTAGTTTTGGACTCCCCTAGCCCAGGGAAAAGACCTTGGCTATTCACCCTATCCATGCCCCTCATGATTTTAGAGGGTCAGCCTCCTATGCTCCAGGGGATAAAGTCCTAGCTTATCCTGCTTCTCCTTATAATTAAAACGTTCCACTCTCTGTAGCATCCTCGTAAGATAACAAGGTGTACAGCTGGATGAACACAGCAGGCCCAGCAGCATCAGAGGAGCAGGAAAGCTGACGTTTCGGGCCTAGACTCTTCTTCAGAATCCTTGTAAATCTTTTTTGCACCTTTTCCAGTTTAATAACATCTTTCCTATAGCAGGGCAACCAGAACTGTACACAGTACTCCAAATATAGCCTTACCAATGTCTTGTACTGTTGTAACATGATGTCCCAGCTCCTGTGCTCAATGCTCTGACTGACTGATAGAGGCAAACATGCCAAAAGCCACCTTCACCATTCTGTCTACCTGTGATTCCACTTTCAAGGAACTATGTACCTGTAATCCCTCGGTCTTTATTCAACAACACTCCCTAGGACCCTAGCAATGAACTGTGTAAATCCTGCCCTTGTTTGGCTTAGTGAAATGTAACACCTCTGCTATTCCTCAGCCAACTGGCCCAGTTGGTCAAGATCTCGTTGTGCGCTTAGATAATATTCTTCACTGCCCACTATGCCACAAATTCTGGTGTTGCCCGAAATCTTACTGACCATGCCTCCCATATTCTTATCCAAATTGTTTATATAAATGACGAGGAATAGTGGACCCAGCACCAATCCTTGTGGCACACAGATGGTCACAGGTTTCCAGTGTGAACAACAACCCTCTTCCACCACCCTTTATCTCATCTGTGTAAAAAATAAGGCTGAAGTTCCCAGCATTACAGGTACCAGTCTTCAGCCAACTCAATTCACTCCACATGATATCAAGAAACGGATGGAGGCACTGGATATTGCAAAGGCAATGGGCCCTGACAATATTCTAGAAACAGCATTGGACACTTATGCTCCAGAACTTGCTGCTCCTCTAACTAAGCTCTTCCAGTACAGTTACAACACTGGTATCTACCCAACAACATAGAAAATTGTTCAGCCATGTCCTGACCACAAAAAGCAGGACAAATCCAACCTGGCCAATTACCGCCCCATCAGTCTACTCTCGATCATTAGTAAAGTGATGGAAGGTATCAGTAACAGTGCTATCAAGCAGCACCTGCTCAGCGACGCCCAGTTTGGGTTCTGCCAGGGCCACTCAGCTCCTGACCTCATCAAACATGGACAACAGAGGTGAGGTGAGAGTGGCAGCCCTTGACATCAAGGCTGCATTTGACCAAGTGTGGCATCAAGGAGCCCTAGTGAAACTGGAATCAATGGGTATTGGGTCAAACTCTCCACTGGTTGGAGTCACGCCTGGCACATAGGAAGATGGTCATGGTTGTGGGAGGTCAGTCATCTCAGCTCCAGGACATCCCTGCAGGAGTTCCTCAGGGTAGTGTCCTAGGGCCAACCATTTCCAGCCGCTTCATCAATGACTTCCCTCCATCATAAGGTCAGAAATGGGATGTTCGCCGATGATTACACAATGTTCAGCACCATTCGTGACTCCTCAGATACTGAAGCAGACCGTGTTCACATGCAACAAGGTCTGGACAATATCCAGACTTGGGCTAATAAGTGGCATGTGACATTCATGCCACACAAATGCCAGAAAATGACCATTTCCAATGAGGGGGAATCTAACCATCACCTTTTGACATTCAATGGTATTACTGAAACCTCCACAATCAACATTCCAGGAGTTACCATTGACTAGAAACCGAACTGGACAAGCCAAACTAATCTTGTGGCTACAGGTTAGAGGCTTGGAATGCTGCAGGAAGTAACTCCTCTCCTGACTCCCCAAAGCCTGTCTATCTATAAGGTGCAGGTCGGGAGTGTGATGGAATACTCCCCACATAACTCTATTTGTGCAGTTCCAACAATACTCAAGAAGATTGACAGCAGTATGGATGAACCAGTCTCATCCATCACCATCAACACTCTCTCCCTTCACCTCATCAGCACTACATATCAACTACAAAGTGCACTGCAGAAATTCAACATGGGTCATTGGACAGTATCTTCCGAACCCTACCAAATGGAAGGACAAGGGGAGCAGATACATGGAAACACCACCATCTTCATTTCCCCTCCAAGCCACTCACCATCCTGACTTGGAAATACATCACCTTTCCTTTACTGTTGTTGGGTCTAAATACTGCAACTTGCAAACGCCCCCAACACCATGCACCCCCCCAACCCAACAGCACTGTGGGTACACTGACATCCCAAGGTCAAAGGCAGTGGTTTAAAGTAGCAGCTCACCACCACCTTCTGAAGGCCAATTATAGATGAGGAGTCAACTCCAGCCCAGCCAGCAACAAATATTTTTTTTTAAAAATTGCTTCTACTTCTACTCTGTAATGCGGAAGTCTAGAGGCTCCTGTCAAAGTCTGTGACAGAGGATACACGCTGTAAAGGATCCCACAGAATGAAAAGCCCAATCAATCAGGATTTAATGACGACGCAAACTGTTACACAGTTCATTAACAGTGTACAAACCAGATTTACTGGTAAACACTCTTGCATGTTATATTCTACAAAAGGCACTCTATAATACTTTGATCACATCAGAGACAGTCTATCGTACTTACGACTAAAAACAGGAAACTGGTGCTAGTCATCAGTAGCTGTCAGTCCCCTCACTGGACCATTTAATATCATCTGGAGGGAGGTGATGAAATACAGTCATCATAGACATCACTGTAAAGCTGTCCCAATCCCCAACACCACCCTCCCCCCAATTCCCAACACTTCCAACTTTCCCCCAAACCTCCAACACCACCCTGACCTCCCCGACCTTCCCCCCATTCCTTAATACCCCCCACCCTTCCCTACCGCCAAACCTCCCCTAATCCCCCAACACCAATCCGACCCCACCCTCCCCCTCAATCCTCACACCCCTCCTGCCCCCCAACACCCTCCCCTTCCCCTTCCCCCCTACTATCCCCAGCAGTGCACCCGCCACCCCCACCCCCCCAAAACTGGGGTTATCTGTGACACGGACTGAAAGTTCAGACTCAACCTTACCTCGTCCAGTTCTTTCTTAGTTTCCTCCTCCATACGCCGGATATCATCCATAGTAAGTTCAATCCACCTGTCCATCCAACAGAACAACTGCCTATGGAAGACTGTGAATAAACGCCTTTCTTGCTGCTCTCAAATAAAAACAAAAAGACCCAATCAGAAACACCAACCAAACACAGTTACATTTTAATCAGGGGTTGGTGCATCACCCCAGAGTCAGATGCCAGCCCCAGCAGAAGCTCAGATGATGCAGTTTGTATTGATAGCCTGCAACAGGGAGGGTACTGGCTCCCTTTAACGCCATCTTCTCGAACAACAGAACCATTAAGATGCACGGGATCCACGGTGACTTGGCTGTGTGGATTCAGAATAGGCGTGCTCACAGAAGGCAGAGGGCAGTGGTGGAAGGGTGTTTTTCAGGCTGGAGGGCCGTGACTTGTGGTATTCCACAGGCATCAGTATTGGGACCTCTGCTGCTTGTGATAAATATATAAATGACTTGGATGAAAAGGTGGATGGGTGGGTTACTACGTTTGCAGATAATACAAAGATTGGTTGAGTTGTGGACAGTGTAGAAGGTTGTCAAAGGATACAGCAGGATATAGATCTGTTGTAGATATGGGCGGAGAAATGGCAGATGGAGTCTAATCCAGGTAAGTGTGAGGTACTGCACTTTGGGAGATTAAATGTTAAGGAAAAGTATACAGTTAATGGCAGGACCCTGAACAGCATTGATGTACAGAGGGACCTTGGAGTTCAAGTCCATAGCTCTCTGAAAGTGGCCACACAAGTAGATAGGGTGGTAAAGAAGGTGTATGGCATGCTTACCTTTATTGGTCAGGAAATTGAATACAAGAGTCAGGATGTCATGTTGCAGCTTTATAAAACTTTGGTCAGGCCACAGTTAGAGCATTGTGTTCAATTCTGGTCGCCATGTTACAGGAAAGATGTGGAGACTTTGGAGACGGTGCAGAAGAGATTTACCAGGATTCTGCCTGGATTAGAGGGTATGAGCTATAAGGAGACGCTGGAAAAATTCAAGTTGTTTTCCCTGGAGTGGCAGAGGCTGCGGGGAGATTTGTTAGAAGTGTATAAAATTACGAGATGTATTAATAGGACTGAAGGGCAAAATCTTTTTCCGAGAGTTGAAATGTCTAAAAGTAGGCAGCATGCATTTAAGATTTGAGGCAAAAAGCTCAAAAGGTGACGTGAGGGGCAAGTTTTTTTTACACCGAGAGTGGTAAGAATCTGGAACACACTGCCAGGGGTGGTGGTGGAGGCAAATACAATAAAGGGCATTTAAAGGATAAGCACATGAATATACAAGGAATGGAGGGATATGGACTAAGGACAGACAGAAGGGATTAGTTTAATTTGGCCCATTCCTGTAACCTGACAGCACAGGAAGCGACCACTGAATTCACTGTATCAGTGTGGTTTGTTGTGAAACCTATCTGAGTAGTGTTACAACAATGATTTATAAATGAATGTGTGTTACTGTGGAGAAAAAAGGTACAGTTTGTTGAAGCTTTTCATTTTGCACATACCAGGGCAGTTTGTCAGAAATAGCATTGTGAAGGGAAGATGACATGAGGAGAGAATACAAATTGATTGCTTGGTCACAGCCCAGAGTGAAGCTCTGTGTTGGTCTTCCTGTTCACCCACTCACCTTCTGGATAAAGCTCTCCACTTTGCTCTGAAGGCCCCACCATTTAAACTTCACGGTCACCAGTTTGTAAGCACACATGTGTGGCCAATCTCTTCTTTTTGCCAGTTCTTTCTGCAACAGAATGGAGAATAAGCTGCCCAATGAGATCCATTACATTAGTGTTTAATGAATTTATGCTCAGGTTTGGCTCCATTTGTAGGACCAAGATTTGTTGCGCATTACTGACAGACCCAAAAACAAATTAGTAACTTTTCTTTATCCATGGATTGCGATGTAACTGAATGTCTTAGAGCCACTTGTACCTTATAGCTTTTTATAGCTAACCCCATGCTGTCCCTGTCCCTGGGGGTGTTTGATGTCAGGGACAGTGCAGGGGGAGCTTTACTCTGTATCTAACCCTGTGCTGTCCCTGTCCCTGTCCCTGTCCCTGGGGGTGTTTGATGGGGAACATTGTAGAGACAGCTTTACTCTGTATCTAACCCCGTGCTGTCCCTGTCCTGGGAGTGTTTGATGGGGAACAGTGTAGAG